AGCAGATATTAACTGAGTACCTTCTGGGTTCACCTGCTTGGGATACTGTGTCACAGATCTAATCATCTTAAATTAAGATAAACATATTGAAATAAAAAAATCTTAAAAGATGGATGTTAGAAAATGAGAAGAGACTGTATTACATATTTCATCTTGAACAAGTTTTGATAGTTTATAGTTTCAAGAAATTTCACCTGCATCATTAAATTGATTGGCATAAAAGTTTTCAGAACATCTTAATCATTATCTTTTAATCTCTGTAGGAGCAATAATCATGTCTCCTCTTCCATTCTTATCACTGACAATTGTGTCTTTTTATTTTCTCAGTAAGTCGAGTTAGATACTATATTTTTAAAAAGTTAACTTCTGATTTTAAAAGATTGTTCCACTGGGTCTATCTCACAAGCACACCTCATTGTATTGCCTTTTTCTTTATTGCACTTAGGAGATACAGTATTTTTTTATGAGTTGAAGGTTTGTGGCAACCCTGCTGTCAAGCAATTCTCTGATACCATTTTCCAACAGCATGTGTTTTCTTTGTGTCTCTGTGTCACATTTTTGTAATTGTCATAATATTTCAAGCTTTTTCATTGTTATTAGATCAGTGATTTTTTTGGATGTTACTCTTGTCATTGTTTGGGGAGGATGCCATGAGCCATAATTTAAGATGGAGAACTTACTGGATAAATGACATATATTTCAACTGCTTCACCCACTGGCCATTCCCTCACTTCTCTCCTGCTCCTTTGGCCTTCCTATTTTTTCACATAGGATAATACGGACATTAGGGCCAGCTGATAACCCTACAGTGGCCTCTAACTGTTCAAGTAAATGGAAAAGTTGCACATCTCTCATTTTTAATCAAAAGCTAGAAATAATTAAGCTTAGCCAGAAGCCATGTTGAAAGCTTGGATAGGCTAAAAACTTGTGACAGTCAGGTTGTGAAGGGAAAAGAAAATGTTCTTGAAAGAAATTCAAAATGCTACTCCTGTGGACACAAGAGTAAAAGGAAAGTGAAACAGCCTTATTGCTGTTATAGAGAAAATTTCAGTGGTCCAGACATATCAACCCAGCCACAACACTTCCTTAAACCAGGCCTAATCTAGAGCAAGCCCCTGACTCTTTCAGTTCTGTGAAAACCAAGAGAAAAGAGGAAGCTGCATAACAAAAGTCTGAGGGTGGCAGAGGTTGATTCATAAGGCTTAAGGAAAGAAGCCATCTCCCTAACACAAAAGTACAAGGTGAAGCAGCGAGAGCTGATATAGAAGGTCCTAAATCTTATCCACAAGATCTACCTAAGATCCTTGAAAGGGACTACATTAAGGAAAAAATTTTCAAAGCATAAAATACCCTCACATTAAAAGAAAATTCCAGCTAGAACGTCCATAGCTAAGGAAGAGAATTCAGTATCTGGCTTCACAGTGTCATTAGCTAAGGACTAATGTAGTCAGTGACTTTAAATTGAAGCCAACGCTTATTTACTATTCTGAAAATCCTAGGGCTCTTAAAAATTATACTAAATCTACTCTATTTTTGCTCTGTAAATAGAATAACAAAGGTTGGATGACAGCACATCTCTTTACAGCATGGTTTACTGAATATTTTAAGCCCACTGTTAATACTTATTGCTCACACAAAAAGATTCCTTTCAAAATATGACTGTTCATCGACAGTGCATCTAGTCTCTCAAAAGCTCTGATGAAGATGTCCAAAAAATTAAAGTTGTTTTCAAGCCTGATAACACATCTATTTTGCAGCCCATGGATCAAGAAATGACTTTATTCAAGTGTTATTTAAGAAATACATTTTATAAGGCTGGAGCTATCATTTTGCATCAGGTTGTCCTGTGATGAATATAAGTAAGGTCAATTGAAATCCTGTGGACTCAATGCCACAATCCTTCTGTTCCCAGTAGTTTTTGCCACAGGCAGGTGCCACCACTTCATCCAGGAAACCCTATGTTTTTGCTAATAATTATTTTCGGAAATAAATTCATGTTCTGTATAAAAAGAAAAAAAAACATGTGGAAAGGACTAACTAATCTAGATGCCATTAAAAGCATTCATGATTCATGAGAGCATATCAGAAATCCAGCATTAGGAACCAGCAGTTAGCGTAGTGGCTATGTCGCTGGACTCCCATGTAGTCAACCATGGTTCAAGTCCCAGACCCAGTTGCTTAAACTGACGCCGGGCATATGTGCATGCATGCCCAAGATCCCGAGAGGAGGATGGAGGAGAAGGGATTGTGGCATGGCCAACTCCCCTGGGGGGTGATTTCTCGCTTTCTGTCTCTCTCTGTCTGTCTGGCGAGCACACGTACCCTATAGCAAAACCCTCTTCAAAAAAAAAAAGAAAAAAAAAAGATAATGGCTGATGAAAAACAGCAAATTAATTATTTAAAAAAAAACAGCATTAACAAGAGTTTGGAAGAACTTTAATTCAACTTCCATGGGTAATTTTAAAGGGTTCAACCTTTGGTACAGAAAGTAACTAAAAAGCAGTTAGAACGATAAGAGAACCAGAATTAGAAGGTACTCAATTAGATATCTTGTTCAGATTTCATTTCTTGAAATGTCCACAGTAGTGCATAGTTTAGTAAACATGAAATTCTAGATTGTCATAAACTGTTTAATAAACTTCTGATGCATCTGAAAATTTTCTAGGGCAAATTAAGTATATCTTAAGATTAGAGGTGCTATCTTTACTACTCTCATAGCCTGTGCTACCATTTCAATGTATCCTCCAAAGTTTTTGCCTTGAGATTTGGCTGTAATGGTATTAAAAGGATGAGAATAAATCTATAGTTGTGAGTGAATTGCTCCAATCTCATGATAAAGCTTGAAGAGATGTAAAATACTCCTGGTGAATATTCTAAATCCTTTGTTGTCATTTCAATATTGTTCATAGCATCTTCATCACCAGTAGATTCCATCTCAAGGAAACACTTTCTTGGCATATCCCTGAGAAAAAAGACTCCTCACCTCTTCAAGTTTTATCAACTCTCTTTGATGTTCTTCTGGACCTTTACACATTAGGCCATTTGATATAGTTTCACAGGTCACTAAAGTTTTATTTATTTATTTATTTATTTATTTATTTATTTAAAGGCTTCTTACTCTTCATGCTTTAGTTTGGATAGTTTCTGTTATCCTGGTTTTCAAGTTCATTTGTCCTTTCTTCTGAATCTCCAATCTGCTACAAAGCGTATTGAATGAATTTCAAATGAGCATTTTCAGATTCAAACTTTTTTTCTTTTTTCTTTCTACTTAATAGCTCCCATTGCACTACTGGGGTTTCACACCTGTTCACACATGACATCTAGATTTTAGTTAATTTATATCCTTAAAATATGACACTATTTTCTTTTTTAAATATTTATTTAGTTAATTTCATTTGTTACTATTATTTTTTTACTTCACCAGAGAGAGACAGAGAGAGAGAGAGAGAGAAAGGGAAAGGCAAGAAAGCAAGCCACCAGGTCCAGAACTCAAACCACAGTCAGTCATATGGGAATCTAGTACCTTTAACCACCATGCCACCTGCCGGCCCCAAAACAGTACACTATTTTCTACAACTGTTTGGTTTTTTGTATCTGCCCAACATCAGTGTCATCTCTGAGTCTGTTGACCATTTTTTTTCCTGGTTATGAATCATACATTACTGCTTCTCGAGTGTTTGTCTGATAACTACACTGTTGAGAGCATAAAATTTATTTTTTTTTCCTTTGGAGATTAATTTGCCTTCTGATAGGTAGGTAATTTATTGGATATTCAGCTTTAGCTTACTAGAGTTTCTTTGTAGGCTTTATTAACCCTTATACTACGATTTAATTATTCCTATAATTTAAAAATGAAACAAAACATTGTTTCCGGATTATTACCTGAGAATTCTGAGTTCAATGATCTTTCTCCTTCTGGCTGAAATTTCACTGATTGCTAGCAGTGTGTAACATCCAAATCTCCAGTTAGCTCCATATCCCTTTGCCATGAACAGCTTTGTATTTGGCTAAAGACTCAAGGAGACTCTAAGCTAATTTCTAGAGCTCCTTCTACACATGCCTTCTTCTTCTTCTGTTATTCTACCCCCCCTTCTATATTCCTTCTATCCACAATCCTCCCATCCACAATACTCCCAAAATCTCAGCGACCTCCACTCTATATCCTCCACTCAGTGAGACCATTGCTCTGTTTGCTTTCTACTCTAAGATATTATCAGGAATTTCCCCAATAATTAGTTAATTAGTTAATTAATTTTTCCCCAATAAGAAAGCTGAGATGAATGCACACTACCTATCTGCAATGATTTGGATAGTGGTTTGTCCCTGGAAAGTTCATGTGTTAACATTTGATCTCCAGTGGAATGGCACTGGGAGGTGAAGAGACCTCTAAGAGGTGAAGCTTAATAAGCTAATGATTGAATCACAGAGGGGTCACTCTCATGAACGAATTAATGATGCCTTTTGAGACCCAGTGAGTTCTAGTTCTTGTGAGAAGGAATTAGTTCTTGCAATAGTGGGTTGTTATAAAGGAAAACAGCTAAAACTTACCTCCCAAGTTTCTCTACATGTATCCACCATCCTTTTTACTTCTGTCAGTCACGTTGTGACATGATGTGCCTGGTATGAGTCTCACACCTTTGAACTTTCCAACCACCAGTATTGTGAGTCATATATTTATTATTATTATTATTATTATTATTACTACTATTATTAGGTTTTTGTCATAGGGCATGTGTGCTAGCCAGAGAGGGAAAGCGAAAAACCACTCCCACGAATAATGGCCAGGCGACAATCCCTTCTCCTGTCAAGCTTTTGGGCATGCACACACATGTGCCAACATGATATTCAAGCCACCAGGTCCAGGATTTGAACTGCAGTTAGCCATGTGGGCATCCAGTGCATTAAATACCATACATCTGCTAGCCCCAATGAGTCTTTATACGTTATGAGGTCTCAGGTATTGTTAGCAATACAGTAATAGACTAAGTCCCTTCCATTACCTGAAAAGTGGCTTTACATAATTTTCCAGTTTTACAGTTAATGGCAGTGGGATGGTATGATACATCTTATTCCATCATGGCCATACCTAGAAGCAGCAGCTCCCAAGTTTATTTGTCCTTTTTTTTTGGTCATCATTTTCCTTAATACAGACTTGTTGGACCTAGCCTGTAACACACAAGAACCACAGATGATACAAAATAACACAGAGAAGCTAAAATGAGTGGTACCTGTTAAAATTCCCATTGACAGGCACTGATTCAAGCCATAGCATTTACTGAGCAGACATTCTGACAGGTATTTTCTGGATATGTGAAAAGGAAAAACAACCTATACTTTCAGATATCTCAGATTCTATGGGTACATCTTAGCCCCTGCAGCTAGGCTTTTTTAATAAAGGAGATCAGTGATAAATTTAGGAGGGAAATTTGACTTAGAAAGTGGGCTTTAGTGCATATGGTTAGAAAGAATAAAGTCAAAGATTACCATGATAATTTTTATACATGACAGAATGTGTAGAGTTAGAGACTCAGTAAGTATAATAGAACCAATTTTGGAGTGACTATAGAGCATGCTGTATACTCTTAATAGAGAATCAGATGCCACTACAGTTTTGTCAGATGTGGGAGGTAGCGGAATGAAGGAAAATTAGTTTGCCACGAGTATTCAAAAGTGAAGGATGAATTGTTGTATGCATACAAGACATTGAAATCCCAATAAAGATCCAGTCAAGAGTTGAAGCTTAGAGAATAACAACTCTCCAGAATTATTCAACTCATCAAAATCCCGAATAAGATGAAGTTATTCACAAAACTTGACACACATAAAGATTCCATTTGCTGAGAAGTGTGATCTGTGATAGAAGCCTCAGCTGTGCAAGATCAAGGCTGCTATAAGAATAATTTGATTGGGACCAGCAGTTAGTGTAATGGTTATGTCGCTGGACTCCCACGTAGTCGACTGCAGTTTACATCCCGGACCCCGTGGCTTAAAACTCATGCCCAAATCCTGAGAGGAAAATGGAGGAGAAGGGATTGCAGCATGACTGCTCCCCCCTCCCCCGGAGTGATTTCTCGCTTTCTGTCTCTCTGTCTCTCTCTCTGGCGAGCACACATGCCCTATAGCAAAAACCTCTTTAAAAAAATAATAATTTGATTACAGTCAGCAAAGCTGAGAGAACATTCTGATAATGTTTAAGTTTTTGCTGGAGACATAAAGGTTAAGACATAAACTTCAGGCTCCAAATAAAACAGGTAACATTTAAATTTACTTTAAATTCAACAGACTTAAAAGAATGTAGTTGCTCCCCTGAAAACTTTAGCAGTGGAAAAAATATGAAATTAAAACAAGAATTAAAATACAGATTGGCTCATCTGTCTCTATCAGAACAGCTGACTCAATTTTTCTCATATGATATCAACTTCTTTTTTCACTCGATTTGTTTCCAATGCAATTGCTGATTAAGATTGGACATGAAAATATTTACCATAGAAAGATGTAATCCCTTAAAACAAACCACATGGGTCTGGAAAATAAGACACACAAGAGAATGAATCGGATCTTCTTTAGTGTAAAAGACCAAGCATTTTGAAATACAGAACTGGACTTTCACAGTTATTGTTATTTGCCATAAATAACAGGAGCTGAAATTGTCTCCTCCGAGAGCCCAAACCAACATCCATTTGAAATAGTGTTGTGAAAAACATTATAAAGATTGCAAAATTGAGTTGCTGGCCAAGCTGTGGGCATTTAGTAAGAAGAGGTGGGTGTCTGGAATGAGCTAAAAGACTGGTATGTATTTGGAGCTTTGCGAAAAGAAATGGGCTGGGAAGAATCGCGGGAGGTGGAGGAGGTTTTGTGAAAGTAGTGACTGAGGAACTGGACTCTGAAACAGGCAGGACTGGCTATCAGAGAAGTTGACTATTTTGCAGAGGGAAAATGGAAGACAGGTCTTGGGAAGGGGGAGTTAAGATCTGAGAAAGCAATGTGAATGACATGTGCAAAGGGAGTTTGTGGCTTATAGTTAAGATTGGATTGATTATAAAGGACTTTTCATGAGGGTTTTGGTCCTTCGTGATAGTGGCTTTCAAATTTTATTGATCATGACCCCACAGTAAGAAGGATCTTTTCCCCCCACATACACACATACATTCACACACTTTCGCACACATATATACAAACACTCAGCTGAATAAGCACAACATACTACTAAAGCAAAAATGTTTACACACACACACACACACATTTACCTTTACTACATGCCATGTGCTCTGCTGTCGTCCAAGTACAATGCCCTTAAATATTTTCTATTCCATTTTGTTCCATGCTGCTTCATTTGTGAAGGATTCTGGCATGAACCACAGAGGGAACTGCATCATCTGTTAAGAGGTCAAGACCCACAGTTGGCAAACACTGCTGTGGTAGAATTCGTGGATGCGTCTGAACAGAAGACTAGACACAGGGCTTTAAGAATATGCACTGAACTCATTGCCCAGAAAGGACTAACAGGCAAGAGATAAGAAAAGCCAGCCTGGTGGTTACTGTGGACACTAGGCAAACACTGGTTGACTCAATGACTGTCAAGTGAGTAAAGCATTCAAAAACATCCTGGAGACAAGTAAAGAGAATAACCTACGGTGATAAGGGAATAAAGAGCTGCAAAATTCATGTAAAGGATCAAATAAGATTCTTTTAAAATTCTGCCTATGACTTTCCATTTGTGCATGAGAGAATATTAGTTATTAAAAAATCAAAGCAACTATATGAAATCACTAACTCAAAATTCTTTAAAAATATTATAAGCAAATCTCATCTACCCCAAATTTGGCCAACTGGTAATACAATGTAAAAATTTCATGTCGCCTTAGGAGGAAAAGAAAGAAATGTTTTAGTGTTTGCTATGAGGCTAGCATTAACGTGTATATTTTCTTATTTAGTCCTCAGAAGTCTGTTAAACAAATTTTATTCTTTATTCTTAGATCAAATATTCTTAGATTCTTATTCTACAGATAAGGAAACTGAGGTTCAGAGAGGGTAAGTAAAAGTGTCCAAAGTCAAAGATCTATTCTAATCAAATTCGACATCTATGTCTTACTATAAAGCTTGGGCTCTTGATAGTGTACGATTCTAATAATGAAAACATTTACAATTAACTTTTAAGAGTAATGTGTATTTTTTAAATGAATTGTACTTCAGTTTCAGTGCACAGCATCACTTTTCAAAACAGCTTGTGGTCTCAAAATCACTCTTTATAATCTATTTTTTTCCTTTCTTTTAAATTAACATAACAAGTGATACAATGTATTTTTCCAGTAAATGCTTACAAGACCTGCAAAGATTAAATCAAGGCAATTAGTATCCCCATCATCTCAACCACTTGTTACATTATATACAGTTAATTGTCTTTAAACTCCCCCCTGTATTTTCTAACATTAAACACTGTTACTTATATCAGTGTGTAATTTTGTTTCAGCTCAACATCCCTCTATTCCAATCCCCACCCCACCTTTCCCAGTGTCCCATAGTCATTTTACTTCTCTCTGCTTCTTTGTAATTTTTTTCCCAATTTCCGTATATGTGGAAGAACACGTAATATTTTTCTTTCTCTACATGGTTGATAATCCACTCTTAATTATTTACAAAAGAGACTAAAGATTTATAATTCAAATAACAGGTAATGCTTAAAAAAAAAGAAAGAAAGAAAAGAAGAGAAAAGAAAAGAAGAGAGAGAACAATTTGAGGCCGGTAGGTGGTGTGGTTGTTAAGACTCTGGATCCCACATGGCTGACTTCAACATTTGAGGCCAGACTGGGCAGCCTGAAAAGCACACTGGGTGTGTGTGCACGCATACTCAAAATCCTGGTAGGAGAATGGAAGAGAAGAGATTGTGGCATTGCTATCCCCCTGCTGGGGTAGGGGGGGGGTGATTTCTCACTTTCCCTTTCTCTCTCTGTCTCTCTCCAGTGAGTGCACACAGCCTATGGCAAAATATTTTTTAAAATAAATCAATAAAAGAAACCAACTTTATATTTGCTTTTATAACTGTTTTAGTAGTTACAATTAGATGCAAGAGCCAAATATTCTAAAATTTTAAATTAAAAAACAGTAAGAAAGTCATTTCAAGAAGTGATGGGGAAACTGTCGATTTATTTCATCATCTCTTTCAACTGATTTCACATGGGGAAACAAGTAGTATTTTATATTAATGCAAAATACCAACATGGGCTGTGCTAGAAACCTTACTCAGAGCTTGGATTTCAGTGGGAAGGCAATAGATTTGATCTTAAACTTGGAATAATAATAAATTTTCCATAAAAAAAAGCAGTAAAATGCACGCATTTCATTAATAGGGCAATATTTTCACTGATACTTAAATGTCCTATCATTTTTAAGTTGTTTGTTTTAGAAACTGAAACTAAAGTATCTTGCTTTTTTTGTAAAATGAGTGACTATGCCTTTCATTTTTCGGTAAAATACTTGTAAACTATCTAAATCCTGAACGTAAACCACTTTATCTATCTGCCCTATGGACAGACTACACTGCTCATTGCTGAGTTCCAAAGATGAACACTACAAATACAGGTGAAGTAACCCTTCTCTGCAATGCTTGAGATTAAAAATGCTTTGGATTGTTTTTTAGATTTCAGAAGATACACCTATACATAATGAGATATCTTGACAATAGAACCCAATTCTAAATACGAAGTTCACCTATGTTTTATATACACGTCATACACACAGCTTGAGGTAACTTTATACAATATTTCTGCATTACAGCATTTTGACTGCAACCCCTCACTTGAGGTTCAAAGTGGAATTTTCCACTTGTGGCACATCAGAGCTCAAAAAGTTCTGGATTTTGGAGCATGACAGGATTTGGATTTTTAGATTGGAGATGCTCAACCTATAGCTCTTTGATAAAAACAACAAACTACAGCCAAAAAAAAAGTCTATAGATAAGCATAAAAGTGTTCCATTTTGCTATGAGAATAGCAGCCCTGTTTAGCAGCCAAGTCATTCTCCACCAGCACTACTGTGGATTTTGGTGCTCTATCTTTATGTCCTTCCCAAAAGCAATTTTCTCAGCAATCTGGAAAACATTGATTGCAATCCCCCAGGTCCTACAGACTGAAATGAAAGGCTTAGAACCTCTTACTAAATATAACACCAGTCATCAATTTCAATATGCAACCAGGATGACAACAAGCAGGTGTGCTTTGGAGGCCATTTCCAGGTACGCATCCAACCCTTAGAACCATTTTCAACGGGTACGGTTTTATGAAATATGCAAAGGGTCTTTAAAATGTTCAAGGAAATACAAATGATTATTTTTAAAAAAACTATGCATGGATTTCCAATTGCTGTCCACAAAAATCTATTTGTATCCTATTGGTAATTCCTTTTTCATGAACTTGTTGAATTTCCTCTCGTATTCCCTAAACTGTAGGTGCTTCTGCTCATCTGCAATCTTAGAATATTACTGATTTGAGGGGCCAGCAGTTAGCGTAATGGCTATGTCGCTGGACTCCCACGTAGTCGACTGTGGTTGGAGTCCCGGACCCGGTGGCTTAAACTCATGCCGGGCGTATGTGTGTGCATGCCCAAGATCCTGAGAGGAGAATGGAGGAGAGGGGATTGCAGCGTGGCCATCCCCACCCCGGTGGGCGATTTCTCACTTTCTGTCATTTGAATAACTCTGGGTGAAACGTACCAGTTATGTCGGACCCCAACTCTGCCAGCAATAAACCTCAGAATTCCAACTGCAGCCAAGCATGCCGTGTTGAGTTCATTAGGCAGTCCTGCCTCAACCAAAGCAACCCATATTTTTGCATATGATGTTAAAACAATAGCTCTGAACAGGATTGTATCGTTTTGGACTTCTGACTTTCTAAGTAGTTGTTACTAAAAACATAGTTAGTTTGCATTGAACAATGGAAACAGGCAGGCAGTCTGCTCTTTTGAGAAGAATTTGAAATTTTTCTAAGAACAAATTTAAAACAGGACAATCAGATCAAAATGTGTACCCACTAGAGGTACTGAGGGAAGTCATGTGAGGCAAAGTTTAGAAAGGAAAGTCAAGTCCAAAATGGAATGGCACTAAAGTTTTACCCAACCGGACACATCATAATTTCAGCTCGATTTCAAGAGACATTTGATCTAATAGAATATGACTGTTAATGTTTCTACAGAATAAAATCATCTTAAATTAGTGTGTCCAGGATTTGTTGAAATTCCTTTTATTGTGATACATAGATATATAGGTACATAGATATAGCACACGTATGTACACACTACTATATATATTATCTACTATAAGATAATACATAAATAATATGCATGCATATTTTTAATTTTCTTCTAAGCTTTTAGAAATTATTATAGGAAAAAAGCTTCTGATACTTGTTAAAGATGGTAAGGGACCACTGCAATAGGACTTTACAAATAGAAAGAGCAGATTCAGCTCATCAAGGAAGAGTAGGGGTTCACAGCCAGCATGCGTGGAGGGGTGGTACCCATGGATGGAAAGTTATTAAATTACTATGAGGAAATATGAAATAAGAGGGATTCAGGCTAATGAGACCTGACACAATTCTTGCTTAAGGTGGATCAGAGTGAATGAAATTTGGGAGGCTGAGGGGGATTAGGATTTTGATCATGTTTTGGTTTCCTCAGTTAACTCACCCAAAGTCTTCCTAAAATTGGAGGCAATGCACCAAGGATAATCCCAAGATAACGGTCTCCTGAAAAAGAAGATACTGACTCAAGTTTGGTCAAAGAGAGAATCTTTGTCAAAATACAATTAAGATACATTCTGTCCATGTCAGGGTAGCCCATACAATAATGTTATTAAAACTTGCAATTTGTAAATCAGTGCATTATAATTAGAACAAAAGTTTCAATATGGTTTCTTAAGACAAAAAAAAAAAAAAAAAAAAAAAAAACAAAGGAAACCTCTCCTTTTTCC